TACGAAGAGCAGCCAGGCACCCATTCACTTTTAAAGAAGAAAGTGCTTTTAGCTGATGAAAATCACTTCACCCATTCACAAATGTTTCACAAGAGCGAAAAATGATTTTTGTACTGTAATGACTGTTTTTTGTATTTGAATTTAGCTTTTTATTGATTATGGGATTGAAACAAATGAAGATCTCGTGAAATGCGGATTACAGCAGAGGCGAGCAGCAAAAGAGAGAAACTAAAATCATAGGATGCTGTAGATGTAAGAGAGATCTATGAAAATGAGGGATGAGGGATGAGGGTTTCAGAATTAGTGACCGAGAGTTCGTTTCAGAAGTTAAAGATTAGCTGATTCGGTACAATTAGAGAGGAGGCGACAAAGTTTTTCATGGATTCTGCACTGTCTATTTCAGTTTAATTTTAGAATTGTTACATGAGAATTCCTACCTACTATAACAAGTTTCAATGCCCTTTTATTTGTCCTGTGCTGATTAACTTTATAATGATGCTCTTAAAATTGCAGACTGCGGGTCATTGGTTCACCTCATTCTTGGCCCCTCCCTCCACTGGGAAAAAGAAAAATGGCTGAGGCTGTTGTCTCTTTTGTATTGAGGAAGATTGGTGATTTGTTGATTGAAAAAGCAAGATTGTTACATGGAGTGCGTGGCGAGGTTCAGGATATTTTGACAGAGTTAAGGCAGATTCAGAGTTTTTTTTTTTTAAAAGATGCTGATGCAAGACAAGATGAGCAAGATACTATCCGCAATTTGGTTGTGGAGATTAGAGCAGTGACGTACTATGCAGAGGATGTCATCGTTACTTTCATATTTAGAGATGAGACAAGGAAAAAACGAGGCATCCGAAGCTTCCTCCTGAGATCAGCCTGTATCACCAAATTGTTGGGTACATCTCCTTAGTAGAGTATGGGACTCAATTGGTTTATTAAAATATTTAGTTTAGTTTAGTGTTAGTTATAATATATTTTTAATACATTATACCCAATTTTTAGAGGCCAATGAATATTTTATAATCATTTTGATTGCAGCTAAGGCTTTGATAAAAAGCCTAAAAAATATTGTTTAATTGTATGAGGTGTAGCAGCTACCATATTAATTGGTTTTCCAAAGGTGAGCAGCCAGGGTTATGATTATTGGGTGAGATAGTGCTCTTTCTCAATGGGTTTTGTTTTTGAAGCACTGTTTGGAGCTTGTTGATAATTTCGGCTCAGAAGTTGTTGGTTTGAATTTGTTATTTTGGATCTTTTTCAATTATATTTCGAAAACAACTTATTCGTCTATTTGATAAGGTCTCTCTTCTGGATTATTTGTGATTATTTGGAATTCACCTAAGGTGATTTTGTAAGACCATTCGTGTCTTGTTTGTAATCGTTTGAAAACTATTAGTTAATAGTGAAATCAGATTTCGATCTCATGGACGTACCTCACGTTGAGAGAACCACGTAAAAATTCTTGTGTCGTTGTTGATTTAATTTTTCCACATTAGTTTTTATTTTCATTGATTGATTTACTTGTGGGAAATCATATATTTTCCCTAACAATTAGTATCAAAGCTTACGATTTATTTAGGCTTATTTATTTATGAAAATCAATGGAGGGGAATGTAGGTCGTATGTCTAGCTTCAATGGAAGCAATTGAGTAACATGGAAAACTAAAATGGAGGACCTATTATTTTGTAAAGATTTGTATGGGCCTATTGAGGGTGATAGTGGCAAACCAAAGGGTATGAAAGATGATGAATAGAAGAGACTTAATCAAAAAGCCGTTGGTGTTATCTGTCAATGGATTGATGATACTGTGTTTCATCATGCTGCAATTGAAACTTCGGCACGTGATTTATGAAAAAAATTAGAAGGCCTTTATGACAAAAAATCAACCACAAATAAAGCCTTTTTGTTTCTAAAGTTGGTTAATTTAAAATATAAAGATGACAGCCCTATTCCGGAACATTTGAATGAAATAAAGAGTATTTTTAACCAACTTGCTTTTATGAAAATTGTTTTTGATGATGAGTTGCCGACTTTGATGCTACTTAGGAGATTTTGGTTGTGACAGTTAGTAATTCGACACCCAATGGAATTGTCACAATGAGCTAAGTCACTAGTAGCTTGTTGAATGACGAAACTAGAACAAAATCAGGGGGTTTCTCTCATTCAGGGGGTTTCTCTCATGGTCGTGATCAAAGCCGTGACAAATCAAGAGATGTTTCTTTTTCAAAGAAAGACATTAAGTGTTATTATTAGCATGAGAAAGGGCACATGAAGTGGGAATGCTGAAAGCTCAAGAACAAGGAGAAAAGGCATGACAAAAATGTGGAAAAGAAGCAAGAAGACATAACAGCGGTTATTATCGATGATTTCATGGTCGTTTGTGAAGATGATTGTATCAATTTTGTGGGCCAAGAGAGTAATTGGGTGATTGATTACGGTGCTTCTTTTCATGTGACTTCTCGAGTTGTTTTCTTCACTACCTACACCAAAGGAGATTATGGTTCTGTTCGAATGGATAATAAATGTTTGTCTAAGATTATTGGCATAGGTGATGTTTGCTTGGAAACAAATTTGGGTTGCAAGTTGTTGCTTAAAGATATGAGGCATGTTCCCGACATTCGTCTCAATTTGATCTCTACCAGGAAGGTAGATGATGAAGGCTACAACAAAAAATTTGGTGATGGAATATGGAAGCTCACAAAGGGTTCTTTGGTGGTAGCTAAGTGCAAGAAGACTCATACATTTTATTCGATACAAGGAAAAATTTGTAAAGGTGTTGTCAATGCACTTGAAGATGATACTTCTATCGAATTGTGGCACAAACGGCTTGGCTATATGAGTGAAAATGGGCTACAAGTTTTGTTCAAGAAGGAGCTTCTACCTGGTTTGAAAGATACACATCTTAAAACTTGTGTTCATTGTTTGGTGAGTAAACAACATAGAGTTTCTTTTCAAAAAAAAATTGCTTCTGGAAAAGAAAATGTTTTGGAATTGATTCATTCGAATGTTTGTGGTCCTTTGAAAGTTAGAACACATAGTGGCTCACTTTATTTTGTTACTTTCATTGACGATTATTTAAGGAAAGTTTGGGCTTTTATACTGAAAACTAAATATTAAGTTCTAGATGTATTTAAACATTTTCAGGCCATGGTTGAAAGAGAAACATGATAGAAATTGAAGTGCATCCGAACAGACAATGGTGGTGAATACATTAGGCCATTTGATGAGTATTGTCATAGCTAAGGTATACGACACCAAAAGATAGTTAAGAAGAGTCCACAACAAAATGGCGTTGCCAAGAAGATAAACCACACCATTGTGGAAAGAACAAGGTATCTTCTTTCACATGCTAAATTGCCAAGATCCTTTTGGGGTGAAGAAATGAGGACAACGGTTGACGTGATCAATTTGTCTCCTTCATATCCTTTGAATGATGTTCCTGAAAGAGTTTGGACCGGCAAAGATGTGTCTTATGAGCACTTGAGAGTGTTTGGTTGCTGAGCTTTTGTTCACATTCCAAAGAATGAAAGGTCCAAACTTGATAGTAAGTCAAGACAACGTTTTTTTCTTGGCTATGGGCGTGATGAATTTGGTTATAGATTGTGGGATTCGATCGACAAGAAAGTTATTCGAAGCCGTGATGTTGTGTTTCTTGAAAACCAAACAATTAAAGACTTTGGCAAAGGTGATTAACTAGAGCCAAAAACTAGTGATCTCATTGATATGAATCCATCTCCTTTATCTCCGATGGATGATGAAAATGGGAGAGATGTACAACTACCTATTGAAGATGTGGAGAATGATTTTAATCCTGAGAAAATCTACAAGGGACCGACAACCTTCGAGAAAGTATCCTCCCAATGAATTTGTGTTGATTTCCAATCAAGGAGAGCTCGAGAACTATCAAGAAGCAATTCAGCATGCAAAGAAAGATAATTAGAAAAAAGGTCATGGAAAATGAGATGAATTTCTTACTTGAAAATCGCACTTATGTTTTAGTGAAGTTGCCTAAGGAAAAAAAAATTCTAAAAAATAAGTGGGTCTTCAAATTGAAGAATGATAGCAAGAATCTGAGGTATAAAGCACGTCTTGTTGTGAAAGGATTTGGGCAAAAGAAAGGTATTGACTTTGATGAGATTTTCTCGCCGATTGTGAAGATGTCTTCTATTCGGATTGTACTTGGCATGGCAACAAGTATGAACCTTGAAGTTGAGCAACTTGATCTGAAGACCGCATTTCTTTATGGTGATCTTGAGGAAGAAATTTACATGGAGCAACCGGAAGGTTTTGTAGAGAAAGGGAAAGAGAAATTTGTTTGCAAATTGAAGAAAAGTTTATATGGTTTCAAGCAAGCCCCGCAGCAATGGTACAAAAAATTTGACTATTTCATGATAAATAATGATTTTTCTAAAACCACTTCGGACCATTGTGTGTTTGTGAAAAAAATTTGGATGGTAAATTTATTGTTCTTTTGCTTTATATTAATGACATGTTAATTGTGGGTCAAGATTACACTATAATTAACAGATTGAAATTGGAGTTGAGCAAGTCTTTTGCTATGAAAGATTTGAGGCCGGCAAAGCAAATACTTGGCATGAAAATTGTTTGTAATCGCAAAAAGGGGCTAATTTGATTGTCTCAAGAAAGCTACATTGAAAAAGTTTTTGAGAGGTTCAACATAGATAAAGCAAAGTCGGTTGGTTGTCCATTTGCGAGTCACTTCAAACTTAGTTCGAATCATTGTCCTACAAGTGAGAAAGACAATGAAGAGATGTTGAAAATTCCTTATGCTTCAGCGGTTGGTTCTTTGATGTACGTCATGGTTTGTACAAGGCCGGATATTACTCACGTTGTTGGTGTGGTGAGTCATTTTCTCTCTAATCTGGGTAAAGAACATTGGGCAACGGTGAAGTCGATTCTAAGATATCTTCGAGGGACTTCGAAGGTGTGTTTGTGTTTTGGGGATGGTAAGTCGATACTTGATAGGTTCACGGAGTCAGACATGGCCAGTGATGTTGATTCTAGGAAATCTACTTCAGGGGTATGTGATGACATTTTCAGGGGGAGCTGTGGCATGACAATCTAAATCACAAAAATGTGTTGCTCTCTCAACTACCGAAGTTGAATTTATTGCCATTACGGAAGCTTGCAAAGAAGAGTTATGGTTGAAGAAATTTTTGGAAGAATTGGGTTTGAAGCAAGAAAGGTATGTGCTTTATTGTGATAGTCAAAGTGCTATTTATTTGAGTAAAAATTTTACTTTTCATTCGAGATCAAAAGACATTGATGTGAGATACCATTAGATTCGTAATGTGTTAGATTCAAAATTGTTACAACTCGAAAAGGCTCACACGGATGATAATATTTGGAATATGTTGACTAAGACTTTGTAGAGGGACAAACATTTGAAGCGTCAAATTTTGGCGGGTATGGTTGATGTCTCCACCTAAGTCAGTAGGGGGAGAATTGTTGGGTATACCTCCTTAGTGGAGTGTGATACCCAATTTGATTTACCCAAGTATTATTTAATTAAGTTTGGTGTTGGTTGTATTATATAGAGTATATGTAATTTATATATGTATCTGACTTTTGGAGTCACAATGATATATTTACTCAAGCTGTCAGCAGCTAGAATGAGGTATTTCGACACTGCAATTAAAAGACCTTTGCCATGCCTTAATCGTGATTGGTCTGCTTTGGTGGCTATCATCTCATCTTGTCTGATTGCTAATCAAAAAGAAAACAATACATTTAGTATTGTTTTGTGCTGAACGTGGATATGCATTCAGTGGAGTTCATTGAAACCAGTTGCTGTTTTGTATACTCAGTTTTGGGTCCAAGACTTAGTACTCCATATTTGTTCCATCTCCAGTAGCTTTGACGAACTTCCTTCGTTCATTTCCAGTAGCTTCATTCATCAACTTGGTCCATTATTTTGGTGTATTTTACAGCCTGTTTCCAAAATGTGAAATAGATAAACACCAAAGAGCCCAAATCCAGCAAATCTTTTGAAAATCGATTTTGAATTAAATTGCCAAAAATAGACTGCTTTGCCAAATACAGAGTCACCACCTAAATATTTTTTGGGAAAATTTAAGAAACTCATCACTCGTGCCAAAGGCTACTTGTCCGTCATTACCAAGATTGTCTCTGCTCGGGAACTTAGGTACGAGAGGGGAAGGTCATGAATTGAGCACCCCCGCTCGCCCGATCAAAGATTGGCCTCTACTAATCATGATATGAATTTTATTTACGCTATATACTCTTGTTCCGATTATTAGGCTAACATTATTATGTGATGCGCACATAAGGTATAGACTAATTTGTAAAATTTGAAACATTTGATTTCATGTTTGTTTTGAAAATCATTTCGATATGTACCACTCGAAAAAGTGATCGTATATGAACATTACTCAAATTATTCCAATTCAAGCAAATAACTTTCATCCACAAGCATTCAAGCAATTATAGCACTTAAGCGCTTAGCCTCATGGCAAGTATGCTAGAAATGGCAACATTCACACTCATGCAATATGCTAAAGCGAGTAAAGGCTTACCTAGTACTCCAAGCCAAAAAGAAATTATAAAGTTAGAAAAATGCATGATCCTAACTTATGCGATATGACTAATGAAACACATGCGATATGCAATCTAAATAGGGTCGGCTACTTAACATGGCATTTGAATCAATTAAATAGCATGCAATCTAAACACGTATTCAAAGAATGTTTAACTAACAATGTAAGTTAGAATGATGTGCCGAGCCCAATGCATGCATTACAAGTGGATGCAAACATGAAGCATGCTAATCAAAACATGATGTTCTAATCTAACCAACTTAAGCTAGTAAATAAAAAATAAAAAGACGTGGGGTTGGAAGACATACACGTTATTACAACATTTGTGACCTCACGCAGGAGGGTCCGAATAAACTAACTAGCTAACTGATTAAAGGTAAGTTAATTAATTAACAATTACAAAACGAAATGAATAAATAGCTAAACTACTTAACTAATTATTACAAACCTAATTAATTAACTATTCAAGCTAATTAAAATAATTACAACGCGAGACGAATTAGTTATTCTAATTAATTAATTATAAAGCCAGTATTTAATCACAACACTAATGTTATTACAACACGGATCCCGAGGATCAATGGAGGACTCTTGCATGAATGTTGTTGCCACCTGAAAAAAGGCTATTGTTTCTGCTGCTAAATGCCTCTGTTGCACAGTAGAACACTTGCACTGATTTCCACCTCCAGACCAACTCTGTTCTGCTTCAAAAGGACACTGCTTGGTTTTACACTGGTGGCCGACAGGTGGCCTGCCGGCCACTGCTGACTGGATTGTCCTGCTGCAAAGAGAGCAAATAGAGCAGAGACAGTGTATTCTCAAGGGTTTGTTTGCACAACTTGCCCCTCCTTATCATTTAAACAGCTTAAAGGGGTAATAAGTTTGATTCACAAACCACCAATGGATGCAATTTCATTGCATGATAGTTTATGAATCAAGTGTGCAAGTTTAATAAATGCAATAAAACAAGACTCCTAAAACCACCTCCCTATCATGAAAGATCAAAGGAAATAGTTGACAATGAATTTTGAACTGTTTTCATCACTAATGAGTATGAAACGACTCAAGGCTCAAGGATTCAATTAACGTCCGATTGAACCCAAAAGCAAATTATTATCTTGCACCCTTTTTAATCACCAATTTTATTACTTCATTTTAGATTACTATTCATTCTTTAATCAATTGAGTCCAAAAGGTGAATTTAAGTCCTCTAATGGAAAGATGGCTCAAACCAAGTGTTGTTTTCGGCATGAAAGAGACATTATACCATTGGTAATGAACCCCCAAAGAGATTAAACCATTAAACATGACATCTCAATCTCATGCTTAAACAAACAAGTAATTTGAAATCACTTTCAAAGCAAAACAAAAGCCAAGAAAGGAGGGAGGTTGCAGAGGTGATTAAGAGTGATTACAAGAATGGAAAGCCATAAATATACATTATTAACTCAAATAAGATGGTGTCTAATGCCTAAAACACCAAGCTTATGGAGACAATTACACTACAAGTATGCAAAACAAAGCTCAAATGCAACAAACACATAGAAACAGTCTTAAAACAATCCTAAATAAATCCTAAAACATGCTGGAATTAAGTCAAAAATAGCTAGAACAAAAAGATAAAATATGGAACATGCTAGGCTAGTAAGCAAAACACAAGGAGGGGAGGCTAACCCCTTCAATTTTGGACTTCAAAACATGATTTTAGACACTGAAAATCAGTGTTTAAAAGCTCAAAAAAAGATAGTATAAAGGTGGGAAACACAAGTGTAAAGGCCTTGAGATCAAAGTGTAAAGAATGGTGAATCACCCCTCAACCTTTATTGGCCTTAAAACCCAAGTTTCAGCCCAAAAATATAGAAGTTAAACAGCCTAAAAATAGTTGGAAAACAGTAAGAAAAAAAAGTGATAAAGCAAGTAGAGAAGCAAAGCTTTATACCTCTTGAAGAAAAGAACCAATTCTAAGCGACAAACCAAGACAAACACACTTTCAAGAGCTCAAACAAGGCTCAAAGGTACCTAAACTCATAGATAGAGAGGTTTGGTTAAGAGTGTATAGGCAAAGGTGAAGAAATTTGCAAGAAAGAGAGAGAGAATTGTAAAGAGAGAGGAAAAATTTTACTCCAAAATTTTTCTAATCCCATGGCAAGAGGGGAGGTCCTCTATATATAGAGAAACATGAACCTCCCTCAGAAACATCCAGCCATACACGTGGGAGCAGATGCAAGCATCTGTGCAAACAGCTGGCACAGCTATCACAAAATATTTGCAAAACACATTGGTGGCCAACAGGCTACTAATGGTGGCCAGCAAGCCATTGCTAGTGGCCGACAGGCCACATCAGTGGCCGGCAACTAAAAACGATGGCCGACAGCCCATAGTAGTGGCCGGCAGGCCACCAGAGGTTACAGGCTTGAAAATCTAAGGTTTTGGTCCAAAAGCAACGCAACAGGGGTGCAAGGTTTGAAAGGTTAAAAGCTGTGGCATTCCACTGAAGGCTTCGAGCACTTAACAAGCATATAGACTCATCATTGGGTGTGCAAGTGATGACGTCCAAGTCGTAAAGGCCGTCAAAAATGGGGTGTCTACAATAGTGAAATCGAATTTCGATCCCGTGGACGTACCTCATATTGAGGGAATCACGTAAAAATTCTTGTGTCACTCTTGATTTAATTTTTCCGAATTAATCTTTATTTCAATTAATTGATTTACTTGTGAAAAATTATATATTTTTCCTAACATAATGAAGTCACAGCTCGATATAAAATTGGCAGATTAAGACCCTCAAAGCCAAAATTACTAGGCTAAAATCGAGCTTACTAAGCTACGGTCTAATTATCTCCAGAAATGCCAGAGAAGGTTGGAGTTCCGAACTCCACCTCCGGCGGACATATTTTCATGTGCATGAGGATCACATTATGGTCATGTTTGTTTGGGTGGACATGAGCTTGGGATTGGACTAATAGTCCAACAAAATTATGAAACTGATGTTTGGTTAAACAATTAAAGTACGGACTAACAATCCATCCGAATATGGTATTCCATATCTGATGGACTATTCAATGCCACAGAGAGGGGTGAGATATAAATTGGAGGACTAAGTCAAAGTTTGGACTATTAGTCCTTCCTTATAATCCTACCTCAATCCAAACATAGGATATGATACACAATCCAAAGAGATTCGTAGTCCTAGAACTATTAGTCATGGAATGCTAATCCAACCTAATCCAGTCCAGCCAAACAAACATTGCCTATAGGTTTCGAGCAAGATATAAAGATGGTAATTGCAAAATTGGTTAGCCAAGAAACCAATAACGAAAGAGTGGTTTCGATTTGCGGCATGGGGGTCTAGGAAAGACCACCCTTGCTAGGAAGGTATATCGTGACAGAGATGTGAGGCATCACTTTGACTCATTTGGATGGGCCTCCATCTCTCAACAATTCCATCTCAAAGGTATTTTACAACGGATTGTCTCTCAGCTCATACCAGAGAAGAATGAGCAACTTGGTCAAATGATAGATGAACAACTAATCAAGTTGTTGTATGAAGTTCAACAAAAAAGGAAATGCTTGATTGTTCTAGATGACATTTGGTCGGTAGATCATTGGCTCAGATTATCACCAGCCTTCCCTAGTACAGAAACGGGTAGCAGAGTTGTCCTTACAACTTGGAACAAAGATGTGGCCGCACTTGTGGGTCAAAATAGTTTGGTACATGAACTCAATTGCATAAATGAAGAAGAGACTTGGAATCTATTGGAGATGAAGGCTATCCCAAGAACATACAGGGCAGGTATTTTGCCTTGAAGTAGAATATCACCACCCTCTTTTTATATATGGATTAAAATGGATCTAGTTCATGAGCATGCTTTGTGATAGACCTAACTTGACCTTGAAATTAAACTAAAGCTGCTAAAAATTGATTCGTTCTGCACTTATCTTCACTTTGAAAACATAATTTTTAAGGATCAAAGGTTTAATGTGTGTAGTTTATATGACAACGATTTCATCTAAATAAGATCATGTTTGTATTTTGTTTGGATTCTCTAAATTGAGTCTACCCTGCTGGAATTGAACTTGTATGAGAGATGTGCTTGTTTAAAGTCGACCTACTAAACCTAAAACAGCTAGTCAATCAGAAATTACCGTAATTTTGTCTAAGTAAAAATTGAGGTCTTCTATGCATTGATAAATTTTCTATTCGTTTTATTACAGAATTCAAAGTTGATGCAGGAATGGAGAAGTTGGGAATGGAAATGGTTGCAGGATGCGGGGGATGAGACGAAACGATATGGAGGAGGACGAGACGAAATGATACTGGATGTGTTAGCTCTCAGCTACCAGGACTTGCCATATCAGCTGAAGTCATGTTTTCTACATTTGGCAATTATCCGGAAGGTTTTGATATAAATGTCGAGACTTTATATCAATTGTGGATGGCTGAAGGCTTCATATCCCAAGAGGAAAGACGAGAAGAAGAAACACTGATGGATGTGGCTGAACATTTCTTGGGCGAACTAGCACAAAGGTGCATGGTTCAAGTAGAATTAAAGCCAGAGGAGTACTCAACAGATAGAGGAAGCAGAAGGTTTCTTTATTGTCGACTTCATGACCTCATGCGAGATTTATGCCTAGCAAGGAGAAAAACTTCCTTCAAATCATTGATTATCGACATACAAATGAGCAAGTGCATCTCTCCTCTTCATCGATGGAAACCTTGGTTGGTACCAGCAGTGGCAGTAAAATACATAGACTTGCCATCTATGAAGATAAGGACAGTAGCTACCTTCACCTCCTCAATCAAGAAGAAAGAGATAGGCACCTTCTGTCAGTTTCATTCTTCAACACTGGGTACTTTAGCAATCCGTTTGGAAGACTATTGAACCGTTTCTGCAGACATGTCAGATCTTTCAGAGCTATTCATTTCAATGAAATACAATCTGACTCTACTGATAGACCTGAAGAAGAGTTGGTTACGGTGGAAGGTGGTGGATCAGTGCCAAAAGAAATAGGAAAACTAATGCTTTTGAGGTACTTGGGGTTGGGAATACTAAATTCACAAAGTTGTCGTCAACAATAGGCAACCTAAAGTACTTGGAAACCGTTGATTTGCGGACAAATTCTGAGATCAGTGTGCCAAATGTGTTGTGGAAGATAGAAGGATTGATATATCTTTATCTTCCTTTTGATTATTTTATTGTTACGGAAGGCAAACTACAAGTAGATGGCTCGAGAAAATTGGAGATTCTAAAAAACTTGGCTACAGATAAGGTTGATGCTAAAGGTCTCACCACATTAACCAATCTCCGGAGACTAGATGTACGCATACAGGAAAATCTTGAGGACCTGGAATTGGTCAATAACTACCTTGTCAGCAACCACCGGCTACAATACACAACCACTTTGGTTGTTAATTGTGATTTTTCTTTAGGAGAAGGATTAAGCCTTCAGATACAACTGCTCAAGTGTAATTGCTTAGTTGAATTGTACATTAATGGGATTACAGGGAAGTTACCAGAATACGACCACCATTTCTGTCGAAGCCTCGCCCATTTAACCCTGTTTGGCTCTCACCTTAAGGATGACCTAATGGTGACACTGGAGAAGCTTCCTAACTTAAAGGTCCTTTACTTAATTAATGCCTTTGTGGGAAAGGAAATAGTTTGCTCAGCTCATGGTTTTCCCCTTCTCACAGATCTCTGTCATTCATATTTACAAATGGAGACCTGGAGGGTGGATGGTGGAGCCATGCCTGTTCTTTATTCTCTATTCATTACATCATGTGAGAATTTGAAGATGCTTCTGGATGGATTGAGATTCATCTCTACCCTCCATGAATTGAATATTTGTGATATGTCCGCAGCATTCAATGATAGGCTTAGCGAAGGAGGAGAGGATTTCCACAAATTTCGCCACATCCCTCACATTTGTTTCGAGTACATAAGTCCTTTTGTAGAGGAGTTTCAAGAAGTTCCAACAAGTATTTTAGTAAGCCACAATCTTATGAATTTGATCTTATGATTTCCCTTATTATGTCTTGTTTTTAACCTACTGTGAATTGCTGCAGGAACCTGACAAGCTATCAGCCCATGGCTCACCTCAGAAGCTTAACAAGCATAGCTATGGCAGCACCAATGCAAGTTCAGTTGAGCATTTTCTAAAAAAATCAACTGCAGTTAGTTAGTCACAGCAATTAGTTAGGATAAACTCAGTTGTAATTAGTTTTAGTCAGTTAAGTTGTGCTGTAACAATCAGTAACAAACTGTGTACACCTCTCTCTTAACAATGATTTGGAGATCAATACACTACAGGGAAAAAGGGTTATATCGGCAATTTTTTTCATGGCTAAAACTAACAGTCTGGCATGTATTTACATTCTATATTTGTAAATTCATTTTCCTTTTCACCTGATTTAGCTGATTTCTAGCATTTTTGCCTTGTTATATTTGGTTCTGGTTTCTCTTGCTCTTTCTGGTCCATGCAATGGGATGGAGGTCTTTCCATCTACATTTCTTTGGCAATACTGATAGCCAATTGATGTAAAGAAATGGCATGGTGATCTAGAGATGTTTTTGCAGATTGAGAGGTGCATCCAACAGCCTGTTCATCAACAGGTAATATAAAGGAAACACTTTATACATTAAATTTCTACATGGTATCAGAGCAGGTTTAGAACCTAATATTTTTGCTTCCCCGGCGGGCGGCAAACTCACCTTAGCTGTCCGCTGGACCTCAATCTAGTCCGCTTATTTTCTACACATACCTTCACTCCGCTGCTAGAAAGTCATAGCTGAACTCTTCTCTGCCTCACACATATTTGTTCATCAATGGCGACATCGAGCCACCATCGTCTCCTCCTCCAAGTGTCAATCCTCCTCGGCCTTCTCGCCCTCTCCGCATTCACGGTATGGAAGAAGAACACTCCACTTCTCTACGATCTGATCGTTTCGCACTCACTCGAATGGCCATCTCTCACCGTCCATTGGCTTCCATCGCCTCCGCTACCCGTCTTCACAGATGGATTATTCGCTGTACACAAGCTGATTCTAGGGACCCATACATCTGATGATTTCCCAAACTTCCTCATGGTCGCCGATGCGCATCTCCCCCTTAATCCGGCCACGGCTCCGGTGACTGATCCCGACCACGACTCTGCGATTCCCAAGGTTGAGATAATACAAAAGATATATGTTGACGGTGAAGGGAATAGGGCACGCTGTATGTTTCAGAATCCATCTCTTGTTGCAGCGAAGACTAGTGGATCTGAAATGTATGTATTTGACTGTAGCAAACACACAATGAATGAGAAGGGGAGGGATCTGGACATGCATTTTTTGAGCTGCTGAGGGATAGAGCATAATGGGTGTTGATCATGTTGTTGACTGTTATACCCACCACACACACACATACCCATACACAACACAACAGACACATTGGCTACACAGCACATGCTCCGCCCTAGACACACGCACACAGCACTCACCACCACACCCAGCTTTTCTTTTTTTTTCACCCACTCCATTTCTTTATTTTTTTCTTTTACTTCCTTTACCACCACTCACCCATGTGACCCACTCTGCTCAGATTCTCCAACCTATACTTTTTTCTTTTTCATTACACTCATGTTCCCCACTCCACTTTCCTCTTTTCGTTTCTTTTTATTTTCCTATTCTCTACTGATTTGAATATCAAAAAAAAAAAACAGACGAAGACGCCTTGCACACCAATCTCCTTTTATTCATGTCGGGGCTCACCCCGTTTACCATTTTACATCAAAAAAAAAAAAAAAAAAAAAAACACCATCACAACAACCAAAGATTTGTTTTCTTTGCAGACGGCCACCCACCGACCTCACTTCTTCGCCTATTCCGCCGGTCTTTTCTTCTTGCCTCCGTCCTGGGCGGCCCTTGACGGTGTTGCCTCCGTGTTTCCCACTCCACTGGGCACGATCACTCCACCCTCCTCCTCCACTCCAGCATATGGCGGACCTCCAAATCGGAACATAACGGTCACCTACTCCACTAAACCTAACCCACTACACCACTACCATCTCACCTACTCCACTAAACCTAACCCACTACACCACTACCATCTCACCTACTCCACTAAACCTAACCCACTACACCACTACCATCTCACCTACTCCACTAAACCTAACCCACTACACCACTACCATCTCACCTACTCCACTAAACCTAACCCACTACACCACTACCATCTCACCTACTCCACTAAACCTAACCCACTACACCACTACCACCTCCACTTCACCTACTCCTTACCTACTACACACTCACCCTCTTCTATATATAGGAATCATGAATCATTGTAATAGATATCAATCTACATCAATCAATAATACAATTCTCTTTTTCTCTTTATACATTAAATTTCTACAGGTAATATAAAGGAAACACTTTTATGGATCTGATCTTCCCGATCAGCTTCTCATTTTCTATTTTGAGTCTATTAGGATTGATATATGGAATTTTATTTGGTTTTATAGCTTGCATATGTTTTGATTGAGTTGTTCAGGCTTTCTCTTCATGGATGAAAACACATGAGCAGTCTATTCTGGATCTCGAGACGTGCCAGAGAATTCTTGGGAAAAAGTTGCAAAATACACACACACATATATATAAATAAATGTAAAGCAGCAGTAGGATATGGCTATGCATTTTGATTTTTGTAAACAAAAGTCTATGCATTTCTGAACAAACTTGAAATTCTCAGACCATTCATGCTATCATGCTATTTTTATTTGTTCCTGATGTAAACTTGTTGAGGTTATAAAATTGTAAATACCATGAATTGAAGAATGCTTCTCTAGTTTTTATCTTATCCAAATTGTTGTCATCACTCCAATTTAATCCTGACATCATCCTGAATGTATTCCTCTAAATAAGCACATTTATTGAATTATACATTGTAGTTTCTGCAGAACTTTACTGGTAAATTATCGAAACATCATCTGCTTTAATATGCTTACATTCACAACCAATAGATTATACACATTTTTGGCATCATCTTTGAGTTTTTTCCAGTTATCCTCTGGATACATCTTTGGCTTTGGGTTCTTCAAACTGTTTATGCATTCATCAGCCTTTGTAACAGCTTTCAACATGGCTTCTTCAGCAACTTTAGAAGTATCATTTTTTTCCAAAGCCTGATTAGCATTTGGAATAAGCTCCCTCCGAATTGTATTAAATTATCCTTGCACTTATTTAAGCAAACTTGGACCTTTGGATACACCTGCCATTGCAAGCCAATGTCGCTATACAACCAGCTTGACTTAGCCTTCGAGGTATTAGTGTCAATGTTGCATGGACCTCTGATACCAGTTTGGGAGTTCTGAGGGCCTGATTGTAGAGTTGACTTGCAAAGTTTGTAATTGGGAGTCTTCTTGCATGTTTTGGTTATCAGATCTTTCCCACATAGGGTGATAGAACATTGACAGTGGCTCAAGGAAATGTGGAAGATGATAAGGAGAAGGATGAATGTGAGGAGGGAGTCTAAAATACTTAGGTTATTATGTCATGTCATGCAGTACAGTGCTAGAGGAAAAAATGAAAATTAAGGAGAAGATTTTATGTCTGGTGGTGATGTAAATCTGAACAAGCTAGGGTTTTATATCTTTTACATGCATGCAACTCAAACTCAAACTAGAGGGTCTAAAGATTCTTCTGTGTACCACATGCATTTAGATTTTTTTTCCTTCCATTTACTCTGATCACCTGTTGGAATTTATTTGTTGATTTTGTTAACATCAAGACAAATCTATTTAGATAATCATTTACTCAAATCACTTGTTGAATTTTATGTATGGATTTTATTTTCATCATAACAAATCCATTTAGATATTTATTTGTTTTAGGAAAAGAGGGATACATGCGTATTAAGAAACAACTAGACAATGGACGTGCTTTTTATGGTAAGTTTTGTGGAATGAAATTTCATTTTGTATTATTACTTGGATATAGAATTTAATATAATTTTCTAGTTCAGTATTGTTATAATAATTTATAATTATTATTGGAATAGATTTGGTTAATAGAAATATTATGTAACTGGAAAATTATCTAGAATTTATTTAGACTTGGCATAGTGTGGATCAGTCTCAAAATAAATTTGATTCACATTTTTGAAACTTTGATTTTTTTTTTTTTTTTTTTTTTTTTTTTTTTTTTTTTTTTTTTGTTCTTTTAAATTATTTTTTTTTTGGTTTAAACAAACACAACATTAATGCATTCTGAAAATTGAAAACGCCCCCCCTCTTTTGCCTATATATCCAGGCCCTCCAGCTCCCATTTGGAGGGTTAGAAATTTTGGTTTGGAGCTCCTACATTGTATCTCTCTCTCTCTCTCTCTACACTCCAACCCTCAAAACCTCTCAAACCCTACACCATTTCTACACCACCACCTAGCACCACACCACCACCATCCATTCCAGCCACTTGGAGCTTTTTTCCAGAGCTAAGGAGCCACCAAACTTGGTCCAAGAGTTGTCAAAGATTTGGTCTTCAAAGGTAAGTCTTCTCCTCCCTCTTTCTTGCCTTATTTTGCTCAATATATTAGCCATACTTTCTTGCATATTTGGGATCCGACCCTAACTGAAAATAGCATTATTTTGAGCTCCTTTTCATATTTGTTTAAGAGCCTCTCCCTGTTTGAGACTTCCTTTTTACACTTGCTTATTTACCTCTCTTGTATGCCTCTTTCTTGCATAGTATTTTAGGCCTATTTGTAAACTTTTTAGAGCTTTGATATAAACTGTGAAGTGGCTTATTTTGAGTCCTTCTTCAACATTGTTGAAGGGATCTTCATTGTTTGAGGCTTCCTTTTGTCACTTGCCTCTTTATCCCTCTTTTGGCCTTATTTTTGCATGTTTTGTTAGCCCCTTGTACTTGTATTTTTGGGCTCTGGTCCGAACTATAAATAGCCTTTTTTTGACCCCCTATTCATGTTTTATCAAGGGACTTTTTCTTTTTGAAGCTCCATTTTTGCTCTGTGTTTAAACCTCTTTTTAGGCCTTATTTTATATAGCATTTTAAGCTTGCATGTGCACTGTTTTGGGTTTGGTCACTAACTGTAAAACACCATTTTTTTGGCCCTTCTTCAACTTTGTTGAAGGGCCCTCCTCTGTTTGAGGCCAGAAACCATCACTTGCTTCTTTGTCTCCCTTTTGGCCCATTTCTTGCACAATAGTTTAGCCATACTTGTGTTTCTTTTCGTGGCTTGTTGTAAACTGTAAAGTGCTTTATTTTGATCCCCTCTTCAACTTTGTTGAAGCGCTCTTGGCCATTTAGGGCCAGAAGCTGTTACTTGCTTCATTATCTCTCTTTTGGGGCCATTTTTGTATGTTAACTTAGCCTTATTTGTGTTCACTTTTTAGCCTTGCTTAAAACTGTAAATATGTTTTTTTTTGGACTGTCTTGATTCTGTCTTCACACTTCATGTTCAAATAATGCATGCTTTGTATAGCTATAAGTCATTCCATGCGCCTAGTTTCGAGTTTCGAGTCTCATTTCATGCATCGGGTGCCATGTTTCCATGTTTCGGGGCTGTTTTGCATCATATTTTGGTACTGAAATTCGCATGTTTGCATATCATGTTTCATACCTTGCCATGCTTTGTTAGAGTGGCATTTGTGCCTTAAGATCGGTCCTCGGTTTGCATGCATGCGTGCATGCATCTCGAGTGTCTCATTTTCATCTAATGGCCTCCTATGTGAGTGCGGCTGAGGTCCACTCATGTTGGTGTAAGTCCATTATGCATTGTGTATGCCATTTCATTTCATAGCATTGCGTATGCTAGGTTGTATGTTAGCCTTACGTATCTTCTTTGTTAAGAATACAAAAACCCTAAAATCAAAACCAAAAATTCTTCAACAAATAATCAAAAATATAATATTATTGAAGATTTTGAATGGATTCAATGAAGAATGAATCTGACAACTTTGATTCACAACAATGGAACAAGGAAGTTTTTTTTTTTTTTTTTTTTTTGTTGTTGTTTTTGTTTTGAGTCTACTAAATTAATTATTGTTTGGCTGAAACTAACCTTTTCCCAGTTCATCACAAGCAGAATCATTAGCTATCCGAAGCCAAGGACTTATGCGACGTTAGGCTGTGAAAATGTTTCATTATAGCTCCTATATATTGCTAATGAAACATTTGTTTAAATTAATTTCATTGAAACATTTTCAAATATTTTCACAAATAATTTCATCAACTTGTGGAGAAAAAAAAATTAATTTCACCATACATTTGGTATTTCTAATTAGGGTAAATTTTTTTGACATAAAATAATAACAGGAACTCAATACAAAATTGAAAACGATATGACACAACATAAAAAAATGAACTAGCTGGATTAATATTGAAGTAATTTAGATACAGACTCAAAATAACATGATACCAATATGATCAACACGATGCAACACCCACCCCATATCAATTGTTTTTTTCTTTCTGTAATTCTATCTTGAAATTTATTGTGAACGTGCAATAATATAGCAAATAACATTCACATACACTAGAATATTTTGAGAGAGAGGTGTGTAGAATCATACGAAATTGTTTTGTTGTTTACTTTATAGGATATAGTTTTGCCTATTGAATTAATCAACACACAATTTAATACACTTTTCATATGATTAAATAGAATGATATAAATAAGTCCATAATTTCATTTGTGGAACATGTTTTGGCTGATGATATTTTTTATTAAATAGTTGAAAAATAAAAATTAAATCACTTATTATATATTATAGTTTTTTACCCATTTATTCATAATTAATTGATCCATTTACCCCCAAATAATCAACTAGGGGGTGGTTTGGTTTGGTAACCCTCTATCTTTCTCTACTTTCTCTCTTTTATCTCAGTAGAGCTCCATTTAAAGTTCTCAAATTAGATTATGTATTATTACTCTTAAAAGAAATTTTTGATTTATTTTTGATTTATTTTGTTTAAAAAAGTTTGGTTAAACTACTGCTGAGAGCGCCTGCAATTCATTAATACTAAAAAAAAAAAAGGCAGTGGCTTTGGTCCAGTCCAAGATCGGACTGGACCGTGCTGTTAGGTCCGTAAGGGTTTACCACGGATTCCGTTTGATAATCTGAACCGTTCAATGTGTAGAACTCGTCGAGTACTATATGCCTGTAAAAAATCACGTTGATCGAATATCGATAGCTATGTGAACAAAATAGTTTTTTATCAACCGTTAATTGTTTCACCGTCTATTTTTTTTTATACAAAACTGATTTGATCACATAGCTATTGATATCCGATCAACGTGATTTTTTACAGGCATATAGTACTCGACAATTTCTACACATTAAACAGTTCGAATTATCAAAATAGACCTAAAAAATGAATCCCATAAACCAAACTGGACGAATCCAGTCTTAATCTCAACTTGAGACAAATTAAACCCAAAAAACAAAAAACAAGCACGAGAGCTCCACGCATCACGCACATATAGAAATGGCAACGGGCGGGGCAGGGCCGGGTTTAAATTGCCATCCCTACGCACATAGTCTACCTCATTAAAAAGCACGGCACCGGCACGGTAATGGCATACATTAATACGACAACGTTCCACCAGTTTAAATCTTCAAACGCCGTCGTATTGCAAAGTCGAAATTTTTCCTTGTCTAAATCACTATAAATAAATACACCACACAAACCCAATCTTCCTCCTCAGGTTTTCAACGCACTCTCATTTCGCATCGTCTCTTTGGTCAGATCTCTCTCTACAATGGCGAAAGAACCAGTTCGCGTCCTCGTCACTGGTGCTGCAGGTATCAATCTCTTTTTCTCTCTTTCACTGCTCAAACTCACTAATCACTCTCAGATCTGTTTATATTTCAACAAAATCTGTGTTTGTCACTGTTACCCCCCTCAGCATCTGCACCGATCTTCGTTTCTTGTTACTTGATTCGACTCCAGATCTGCTGAATTGCTGTTTCAATTCAAGTTCTTGATTAGAAAACCAAATTGATCATAGTTTGTTGGCTAGATTGTTTTGTTTCATAAAGATGGTGTCTTTGTAGTTGTCTTTTAGTTGTGGATTGGTTTGGGGAGTTGGATTTGTCTGATTGGATCGGCGTGTTGATCGTGGATCGCTTGGTTTTAGCGTATACTTTTTTTGATGAAACATGTTGAAGCAGGGGTTGTTTAGTTTGTTTAGTAGTAGTAGTAGTAGCAGCAGCAGCTTTAATAGATTCTGTTAGTCTTCATCCCTTGAGACAGATAATGTGCGCTCGCACCCCTGTATTTCTGAGTACGAAGAGCTTTAATAGATTCTGTTAGTCTTCATCCCTTGAGACAAATAATGTGCGCTCGCACCCCTGTATTTCTGAGTACGAAGAGAACAATTCGTGTGCTTGATTTTGCTATTTTGTCGTTGCTCGATTGGTCTGTTCTTTCTAGTCTAGAATGTTTTGAGTGCAATTCTCCAAACTTTTTTTTTTTTTTTTTTTTTTTTTTTTTTTTTTTGGTGGGAACTTTTTAAGTATAGGAAGCATAAAGCAATCTTAAGTTTTGTGCCTGGAGAAAAGCTTGTTTGATGTTATGGTTATGCTTTGATCTCTAAGAGCTGGAAAAAAATGTACTTGACCAAGTTTACTTCTTGTTTTAGAGCCACCTAGACTACAGACTATGTGAGTGAGCTTGAATGCCCCTTGAGTTTGAACCGCTTTATATGACATTTTTACGTCAAAATCAAGCCCATAAATTGGGGCCATAACTTAGAATAGAATACTTCATCATATCACAGTTTGGCATTTTATTGTTTTTTATTTCTTATAATTTTCTGAAATGACATTATATCTTTTTCAAAATCATTTGAGTGATTAGTGCTCCCCAAGGAAAAGTACCTAGGTACAGTTCTTTATGTTCAAGTGGTGCACTTGGGCCCTTAAGAATAACTTATCTCAAAATAAAAAAGAGTCACCTGGATATCCTGTTTTACCTTTTCGTGAAGCAATATATTAAGAGAGAGTTGTTGGTACTTGCAGGACAAATTGGATATGCTCTTGTTCCTATGATTGCCAGAGGAGTTATGTTGGGACCAGACCAGCCCGTGATCCTTCACATGCTTGATATTCCACCTGCTGCTGAGGCATTGAATGGAGTGAAAATGGAATTGGTGGATGCTGCGTTCCCTCTTCTTAAAGGTATGCAACTCCTGATCGTTCTTTTTGACTACATGACGTAGATGATAGATCATTACTTTCTACTACATGTTTTTTGGTTTTTGTTATTGTTTTGTGTTTGAGATCTTGTGTCACCTATCTAATGGGATATTTGTATCAGGTGTTGTTGCTACCACTGATGTTGTTGAGGCATGCACTGGCGTCAGCATTGCAGTCATGGTTGGTGGATTCCCTAGGAAAGAAGGCATGGAAAGAAAAGATGTGATGTCAAAGAATGTTGCCATTTACAAATCTCAAGCTTCTGCTCTGGGGAGTTATGCTGCTGCAAACTGCAAGGTGATTGCCATTTTGAGAAGATATAGAATAAATAATAATGGGATGATAGCAAATAATTGGAAAAGAAATTAGATGGAACTGTGAAAGCAATATTTTAAGGGGTTTTTTTTATATATTTATTTTAATAATGAAAATAGATAGAACAAATAACTGCAAAAGTTGAGTTACAAGTTTTAATTTTTCTTCAATAGTATAGTTAGAAGTTTCTAATTATGCTACGTAATATCTGAGTTTGTATGTTTTCTATTGAAGATAAACTTTTGTTTCTTGTTTCTTCAAGGTTTTGGTTGTTGCTAACCCTGCCAACACCAATGCGTTGATTCTAAAGGAATTTGCACCATCAATTTCTGAGAAAAACATTACTTGTTTGACAAGGTTGGACCATAACAGGGCCCTTGGTCAAGTTTCAGAGAGATTGAATGTTCCAGTATCTGATGTGAAAAATGTTATTATTTGGGGTAATCATTCCTCAACTCAGTATCCTGATGTCAACCATGCAACTGTCAAGACACCAGCTGGAGAGAAGCCTGTCCGTGAGCTTGTTGCTAATGATGAATGGTATGAAGAAAGTATAAATAACATATTTGGCCGTTATGTGTTTGTGTTAGCTTGGATTTGCTGTTAAAGCATTGATCAACATTTTATGGTTTTCACTGAAGAGTTATTGTGCACTTCCTTCCTTAGGTTGCATGGAGAATTTATAACAACCGTCCAACAGCGTGGAGCTGCTATTATCAAGGCTAGAAAGTTGTCTAGCGCATTGTCTGCTGCTAGCTCTGCTTGTGATCACATTCGTGATTGGGTCCTTGGAACTCCAGAGGTTGCTCTTGTTCTTGCCTAGCCTACATTTCTATAGCGAAAATTATCCTACACATTCCTTGTCTTTCTATTGCTGCATGTTCAGGGATGTATTGAGCGAAAACATTCTTTGCTTATCTTTTCTTCTGTTGGAACATTGCAGGGAACTTGGGTTTCTATGGGTGTATACTCTGATGGCTCATACAATGTGCCAGCTGGGCTTATTTATTCTTTCCCTGTTACTTGTTGCAATGGAGTATGGACAATTGTTCAAGGTAAGAATGCATCTAATAAAGTTAATGCGTAGTTCTTTCGTATCATACATGGACAAGTTATGGGATCAGAAACTATATCAGCAATTGTCTTATGTTTTAGGTGTGTTTTTAATTTTAATCAATTTTGAACATACGGGCATCCAACCTGTGATATTGATATGTTCCTTTTCTAGTCCTCCTGCATTGTTGACATTTATATTCCCCTTTTTGTTAAAAAAAATTTGCAATGATGTCTTGATATTCCCTATATATTTTCCAATAGTTGGTCTCATATTTTTGTTAGTATTTAATTGGTTTAGCACTTGCATGCTATGATGACTAGGTTTAATGATTTTTTCTGGACTTTTAATACCAATAAGAGATAATTAGTAGGTTTAGGCTAAATGTATATATTGGTGATCAACAATTTCTGATTTTCTAGATGGATTCTTAACCAGTGTTTTGCTTCCCTTTCTGTGTCTCAGGTCTCCCAATTGATGATCTTTCAAGGAAAAAGTTGGACTTGACTGCCGAAGAGCTTACTGAGGAAAAGGCTCTGGCATACTCTTGCCTTTCTTGAATTTGCTCCTAACCTCCTTTATGCTGTAGTAGGTCTCACGCTTTTGTGTGTTTTTGGAAGAAACAGCTACGGTTTTGAATAATGCCATTGTTATGTGAACACTTAATGGAAGGATAGATATAAACTCCTCTACTTGGTAAATGAATGAGATTTGTACGGGCAGTTTTTGTCCAAGATTTTTTATTTACAATCATGATTTTTGACGCAATACTTGACAACACATTATGCCTCCGTTTGGGAAGTGGGTTAGCTTTTTAGCTTTTTGGCTTTTTTGGCTATTTTAGCCTGGGCTTAAAAGCTTGGTTTGGGAAGGGCTTTTTGGCTTTTTGGCTTTTTTGAGTTTTTTTGTGAGAGAAGAATGTAATGATTATGGGTTGGATGTGATGTTTTGTTTGTTATGGCTAAAATAGCCTATTTTGTCTTTTGTGGCTAAAATAGCCAAAAAAGCCCAAGAATCAACTTGCCAAACAGAGGCTATGTGGTGTCATGGATTCTTAGATCACCCCTATCAATTGCAGTAGTGATGAGAACACTTGCTGTTTTAGCCATAACAAACAAAACATCACATCCAACCCATAATCATTGCATTCTTCTCTCACAAAAAAACTCAAAAAAGTCAAAAAGTCAAACTCTTATCAGCATTTAAAATCCTCTCAAACAAATAATTATAGATATAATCCGTACATAGTTACTGCAGTATCCTTTTCAATTTCTCCTATACACTATGGTTAGTGATAAGATTGTTAAATTATTTTTATAAAAAATCTTAAAAAATATAATTTATATATTAAAAAAAATCTAAAATAAATATAAATATCTATTATTATCCCGTGCATAGCACGGGTGATAGGCTAGTCTATACTATATATTAAGCAAAAGGGGGTTTTTAACTCCAAGTTTTGTGGGAGTTCCAATCTCCTAATCTAAATTTTCTGATTTTTTGATTTTAAAAAAAAAAAATCTTAACATTTATTAACTTCTCTCAACTCTCAAGTCTTATCCTCATAATAACACTTTAAGGCTTTAAGAACAAGCATAAAAAAATTCTTTGAAATCCAACGCATATGAATTCCTTGAAAAGTCCCAACACATATGATTATTATCCCTCTTTAATGTATTAAGAACAAGTATAAAAAAAAATTCTTGAAAAGTCCAACACATATGATTAATATCAAAATATTAAACTTTAATATAATATAAAAAAAGGAAAAAAAGAAGACATTTAAAATAATAATAATAATAATAAATATTTAAAAATCACAATCTATCTATACTATATATTAAGCAAAATGAGGTTTTTAACTTCCAAAGTCTGTGAGAGCTCCAATATCCCAATCTGAATTTTCTAAATTTTTTATTTTTTAAAAAAAAATCTCAGCATTTATTGATTTGGTCAAACTCCCCTGATCAGCATTTATTAACTTTTTTTCAATCCACATATCTTTTCACATGTATGCATTTATTGATTTGGTTAAAATCCTCTTATCAGCATTTAAAATCCTCTCAAACAAATAATTATAGATATAATCCGTACATAGTTACTGCAGTATCCTTTTCAATTTCTCCTATACACTATGGTTAGTGATAAGATTGTTAAATTATTTTTATAAAAAATCTTAGAAAAAACATAATTCACATTTTAAAAAAAAATCTAAAACAAATATAAATATTTATAATTATTCCATGCATAGCACGGGTGATAGATAATTCACATATATAGATAATTGTAAACACAATCCGTACATGGAAGCTCCAATCTCCCAATCTGAATTTTCTAAATTTTTTATTCAAAAAAAAAAAAAACTAAGCATTTATTGATTTGGTCAAAATCTCTCTGATCAGCATTTATTAATTTTTTTCAATCCACATATCTTTCCACATGGCTGCATTTATTGATTTGGTCAAAATTTACTGATCAGCATTTAAAATCCTCTCATACAAATAATTATAGATACAACCCGTGCATAATTACTGCAGTACCCTTTTCAACTTCTCCCATACACTATGGTTAGTAATAAGATTGTTAAATTATTTTTATAAAAAATCTTAAAAAATATAATTTATATATTAAAAAAAATCTAAAATAAATATAAATATCTATTATTATCCCGTGCATAGCACGGGTGATAGGCTAGTATATATTAAGGGAAAGGGGGTTTCTAACCCTCCAAGTCTTGTGGTAGCTCTAATATCTTAATCTGATTTTTTTAAATTTTTTATTTAAAAAAAAATCTCATTATTTATTGATTTGATCAAAATTTCTTGATCAGTATTTATTAACTTTTTTCAATCAACATGTCTTTTTACATGTTTGCATTTATTAATTTGGTCAAAATTTCCTCATCAGCATTTAAAATCTCCTCATACAAATAATTATAGATACAACTCGTGCATAGTTACTGCAGTATCATTTTCAACTTTTTCATACATTATGATTAATGATAAGATTGTTAAATTATTTTTTTTAGCATTTATTAACTTCTCCCAACTCCCAAGTCTTTCCCTTATAATAATATTTTAATGCATTAAGAACAAGCATAAAAAAAATTCTTTGAAATCCAACACATATGAATTCCTTGAAAAGTCCCAACACATATGATTATTATCCTTCATAATAACACTTTTATGCATTAAGAACAAGCATAAAAAAAATTTCTTGAAAAGTCCAACACATATGATTATTATTAAAATATTAAACTTTAATATAATATAATAAAAAAAGATATTTAATTCCTTGAAAAGTCCAACACATATGATTATTATCAAAATATTAAACTTTAATATAATATAATAAAAAAAAGATATTTAATTCCTTTAAAAGTCCAACACATATGATTATTATCAAAATATTAAACTTTAATATAATATAAAAAATGAAAAAAAGAAGACATTTAAAAATATATATATATTTAAAAATCACAATTCACATATATAGATAATTGTAAACACAATTCGTGCATAGTACGGGTGATATGCTAGTATTATATAAGGAAAAGGGGGCTTCTAACCCACAAGTTTTGTGGAAGCTCTAATATTTCAATCCTAATTTTCTAATTTTTTGATTTAAAAAAATAAATAACCTTAGCATTTATTGACTTCTCCCAACCCACAAACCTTTTTCACTTCTCTCATAACTACTACAGCACCCTTTTCAACTTCCCCCATACAATATGATTAGTGATGTGATTGTCAAATTATTTTTATAAAAAAACTAAAAAAAATAATCTGTATATTAAAAAAATCTATATCTATTTATACTATATATTAAGCAAAATGGGATTTTTAACCCCCAAGGCTTGTGGGAGCTTCAATATGCCAATCATAATTTTCTAATTTTTTGTTTTTAAAAAAAAAAATTTAACCTCAGTATTTATTAACTTCTCTCAACCCACAAGACTTTTTGACTTTTCTCATAATTACTGCAGTACCTTTTCCAAAACAAATAATTTGTATATTAAAAAAAAATTAAAACAAATATAAATATCTATATCTATCTATTTATTTATATCCATCTCTAACCCACAAGTTTTGTGGGAGTTCTAATATCTAAACATTAATTTCTTAATTTTTTTTGATTTTTTTGAAAAAAAAATTAGCATTTATTAAATTCTTCCAGGCCTTTTTAACTTATCCAATACACACACCCGTTTTAACTTTTCACATATCTATTGCAAACAGTAAGTCTTCTTTTTGTTTTCTCCTTCTTGACTTCTCACTTCTACACTTTCAACTTCAGTGACCACGTATGCAAACAGTAAGTCTTTTTTTTGTTTTCTCCTTATTCACTTTTCCTTTTGTTTATTGTTTTAATATTGTAGTTAGATAGCGCATGAAAATATTTGTGATTTGTCTAACGAATAAAAAATTATAATTTGATTTTTTAATATGATTGAAATTAGATAAATATAAACCCTCACAAATAGAAAAATGTGATTATAATTAGTTGAATGATTCTTTTTTTTTAATGTGATTGTAGGTAGTTTAATAGTTCTTTTTTTCATTTATTTATTTTATTATGTGAAAAATGTGATGTGATTGTAATTTGTTCAATGGCTCTTTTTTTCTCATATGATTGTTGTAGTTAGTTCAATGGCTTTTTTTTAATGTTATTTAATCTTTTTATTTACTATTTTAATTTTATTTTTAATTTTTTAATATGATTGAATTTAGATAAATATAAGCCCTCACAAAGAGAAAAATGTGATTATAATCAGTTGAATGATTCTTTTTTTTAATGTGATTGTAGTTAGTTTAATAGTTCTTTTTTTTCATTTATTTATTTTATTTTGAGAAAAATGTGATGTAATTGTAATTTGTTCAATGGCTTTTTTTTTTTTAATATGATTGATGTAGTTAGTTCAATGACTTTTTTTTTAATGTTATTTAATTTTTTTATTTACTATTTTAATTTTATTTTTAATATGATTGACGTTAGATAAATATAAACATTCACAAAGAAAAAAATGTGATTGTAATTAGTCTAACGATTCTTTTTTTTTTAATGTGATTGTAGTTAGTCAATGATTCTTTTTTTCATTTATTTGTTTTTCTTTTTATGGAAAAAATGTGATGTGATTGTAATTTATTCAATGGTTTTTTTTTTAATGTGATTTAATCTTTTATTTACTGTTTTAATGGTTTTTCTTTACAATTATTTATGAAAAAAATATGATTGTAGTTAGATAGTATAAAAATATTTGTGATTTGATTTGATTTTCTTTTCTAATTTGATTTTTAAAGTACCAATTATTGATAATGATTAGATTGTATTTTGAAAAAAAAAATTGTAATTGATTTTTTTAACTCACTGTGTTTTTTGAAAAAAAATTATTGTGTTTTTTGAAAAAAAATTATTGTGTTTTTTTAACTATCAATTCACTTAATTTGTGATTTGATTTTTAACTCACTGTGTTTTTTGAAAAACAAAATGGATTGTACTCATTAAGGTCACATAATGTGCCAATTATTGATGATGATTAGATTGCATTTTGACAAAAAAAATTGTAATTGATCTTTTTAACTCACTATGTTTGTTGAAAAATAAATTATTGTGTTTTTTAATTATCAATTGACTTAATTTGTGATTAATTTTTTTAATTATTGATGATGATTAGATAGCATTAAAAAAAATTATGATTTGTATGATCTGAAATTATCTCCTTTTGTTTATAATTTTATTTTTTAATATGA